ACTGTATAACCACTTAGCTATATTGAAAGTGGGTGATCCGATGAGTGACACTATAATCGTCAACGGGACATCCACTTTGTGCACTTTTAAGAGGCCATACGCGTGTGCGATGTGGGGATCACTGAGGGTCATCAACTTGGAGTCATCTAGACTGATAACTTTCAGACGAGCGAGCTCATTAACCTTCTTTTTGATGGCTGCGGCCTGCTTTTTAGTCGGGTCTTCAGCAAGAAGGTTATAGGCCTCCATGTCACTGAAGATTTCATTCGCCTTGTTAACCTATTCAATTTTGTCCATTATGACAGTAGCGCCACCTTAGCAATATTGAAAATACTCGTTAACGATTCACGCAGTAACCGTTCCGCTGCTTATATTCGTATTCGTTCGTAGTCGACTGCTGATAAAAACTGTCCGGATATCTTTATCGCGCGGTACGACACAGAAAAGTGACATCATGTCGCGGCCACTTAATATATGTTTGTCTATACCCAGTAATTCTGGCTGTGGTAAAATGAACTACTGTTAAACACATTTATCACGGAGTTCTATGACACAAAACACCACAAGTTTAAAAAACGGAATTTTTTGGAGCTGAATTCGCCCCACTTTCCCAGAAAACAATGCAATTTCTTAGCCCCGTCTTCACCTGATTTTCGTAGACGCAAGATCCTTTGTTTCGTTCCAGAAGGAATTTGTTTCCAACTTTTCTTGTTTATATTAATTTTTGTTTATAGCACAATGCGCATAAACATGAGGTTTTGACTTGTGAATTTCAATAGCGTAGAAAATTACCTGGATAGAAGGAAATGACGGACTTCACCCAAACCTGGCCTGCTTTCCTTAACTAAAACAGAGTTTAAATGAATTCTTCCTTAGTAGATAGCTCTCTGCGCCTCAGATCAATTCAGCAAACACAAATAACAGCACCAAATGTTTGACATACTACGCGCCCAAATCTCGGTCACGACACTTCCTGAGTTTTAGGCCATCTGTATATGCATAACAGAGGCCTGGTGGCAGGCAGGACGTGTACTGACAGCACAAGGGGCAAGTCTTGGGGCCGCGGCAAGTTACACGGCATGGAAAAACGTTATCGGCCGGGGGGTGGCCTGTCAGTATCTGGGAGTTCTGATCACACTTCCGCCGCGACCTTGAGCCTTCGCTTGTCACTCGCTGTCAAAGACTCAGTAAGGACAGTATACAGTGCGAGACAGTTCGATTGTCGAAAACGAAGAGGTCCACCGCGTGTCCCACGAGATGAACCCAGCGGTGACTTGCGTGCGAGTTAGTGGACTTGCGCAGCATCTACCGCACCGTCTCTTTCCCTCGCCACCTTACCCCGATGGCAAGGCGATGTCGAGGCGACCGGAGGTCGGCATAGGCACAATGACTGGCAAACGCTAAACAGCCCGTTTTCTCACACACGACTTGGTCCCTTACCTTACATGTGCCAGACTTTGTTTAGGGGTCGTCTCAAATTCCATGCAGGTGAGAGTGTCATAAAGTCCACATTAGGAAAGACCCACTGTAGCCTGGCCCTCAGTTCAAGACAGTACCGAACTGCCCCAGGCAGCTGGCAACCTTTCAAAGCCGGGACTGCCGCGCGTCTAGGTGTTCATGGTGAGGAAGGGCAGCATACGACATGTTCCACGATGTATTGAATGAAATTCGAATACATTATATTAGTTAGGAAGGACTACTGAGGTGAGGTTGTAACATAATACCAAAATATTTTAGTCGCACCAGCATGTCGGCTTTTGGATGCGCGTCCTTCCGACCGCCTGCAAAATCACACTCGCTAAAAATCACAGTAGGACTCAGAAATATGGACCACTCCCCCACCTAGTACTTCAGGTGGCCTGGCGCTTAAATTCCGGTCGGCCCCTATTCCCGTCTCTTAACTTTGAACCTAACTCCAAGTCTAACCCCAACGCTAACTCTAACATCCCCCCTCCCTGCAATCTGGGATAATGCCGTCTGCGATACATGCATGTACGTATTCCCCTGCCCAACCATAGTGACCACTCAAGTATCGGACATTTGCTCTACCCACTTTCTATGCCTTTATAGATCAAGAATATTTATCGAAAACACGCATAGAATCAACATCTCCTGTAGCAAACTACGTCCTCTTCGAATTTTCTACTCTAAGAAGATATTTTTTTCCAGTTTTAGATGTTCCTTAATTTTAGCCTAATTTTGAGCTCGACGCCCCACTGCACTTGGGTTTAGGAATTCTAACCTACAGGCTGTATGCTTTCCATTTTGGTAGCGTCCTATCTTTCTCTATGCTCATAAAATTTCATACTGGATATGGACTGCGTTAAATAAACCGGCAGGTGCCATGCTACTGGAGGAGACATGCTACTACTGTCGTAAGAATTTTAATTACAAACAGCAGCGCAGCCTCCTTGATGAGCATAATTGGCTGTCATCAGTAGAGAATTCCACGGTTCACGCAATTTTTTCCCTCAAATGCGTTGAAAGGATAAGACGATGTCCCATGCTTCGCCAGCTGGGCACTGACACTTAGGTAATATTTCCTAGTTGAACACACTTGCCCCAAGTGCTTCCTATGTTTTGACGCGTCATGTATATGTGAGATCTCGACCACTTTGGCCGACATATTACTTACTACCAATTCAACAGGTCTGGTTCGGGAAGCAATCCTTTTTGTGGACCACATGGGACAAAATCCCTACTCATTTACATGCCTCTTGCTTTTTTGCTTTACTGTCAGAAAATAGTCGCCGAGCTGCAGCCTTTTTTGGCTTTTATCCCGTTTATTATTATCAACCGCATCTAACGATGTGTGGTGTTGCTGTAGTCACGCCAGTCCCAATGAATAACGTTGCTGTCGAAAGTGCAATGGGCTGACAAATGAGGAGTCCCAAATCGCAGTTCATGGAAAACAGAACGCATGTGTCTGTCGCCCGCAGCCTAGTTAATCAGCGAATGACGCAGCTTCGAGCTTTCGCAAGACTAGGGCCCAGTCTCGCGCGGTCCCAGCAGCCAATTGACAAGGAGCAAACAGGAGGCCGCGAGTAGGCGATCACCCTGGCGACCACAAAAGCGGACTGTCACACTGCTTCTCAGTGTCTGCTTCAAATGGATGCGTAACAAAGCATCAACAGTCGCGAGTATATTGCAAATCCTTACTGTTTCCCTCAGTTCTAGAGTAACATGTAGCAGGCGTGCACCGAGTTGTCCCAATTTCTGGACGAAAGTGGGCACGTCTGTTTTATCTCGAGGCTTCGGATCGGACATTCGCGTAGGCGATCACATTGCGACCAACAATTAACGATCCGTAAATGTTGTCGATGGACACAAGATACATTGTGCGAGCGACTTCATATATATTTCCCATTTCGACTGAAATACCGTGAATTCCCTAGTCAATGTGGAAGAACGCCTGATCTAAATGTGCCCGATAACCAGCTGACTGGGACTTACGTCTTGGGCAAATGGGCCAGAACTGGGCTTTCTAGTGTTCCTTGTATGTGTCATTAACTTCCCGAGTTCTAGCCATTTCAGGCTGCGGCCTGGGCAGACATCAACACAACCGGGCAACCGGTGCGCAATTTGGACAACCCATCAATAGTGGTGAAAATGCGATTCCCAACTTGCATACCAAAAGAAGAGGGGCGTTCACCGGGAGGGGTTTATTTGAGGTCCGACGTTTCGAGTAGTTTATGCGTCTATCCATCTTCAGAGACTGGGAAGTCCTGTGCACAGCCCCCCTTATAATGGCGCTCTTTGTTCAATGCGTGATCTGCCAATGCCGCCTGTGTGGCTGCATCCAACCCGCATGTCACGGTGACCTGAATCGCCCCCCGTGGGCCGCGGAGATGACTGACGGTTCCGATTACACAGCCGGAACTTGCTGTTGGTACTAGATGGTTGAAATTTTCGAACGATCCTTGACTGGGGCACTCATAACTGAGGATGTTGTCGTCATCAGAGCCGTGTAAAGGTGGATCTTCTCGACCGATTCTGGGCTCAGTTACTGCCGAGTGCACATGACAAGGTCGATGTCGTCGCCCGAACCGATGCTTTTCGCAGGATTTTCTTTTTAACCTTTGAAGGTGCCTATAACTCCGTCATGAGATCTTAATCAGTACGATGGTTGCGGTTAGTCCTCTATGTCAGATGTGGGTGCTGTGACGGAGAAGGGGAAGCTGAAGGGTTTCGACCACAATTGCTTTAGAATCACTGTCCAAGTGACGTGTGGTAATCGGTCCTTTAAGTACGACTATGATCACCACTACCCTGAGGAGGTATCAGTGGCCTGTATGACCATTGAACTGTGTTTAGGAAGGCTTACAACAGGGGTCTCGGCCGGTTTTCTCAATCGCATAACTATCTAGAGGCAAGACCAGATCAAGGCTTATTGTGAGATGGGGCTCGGTGACGGGCTTGGCATAAGACATTGATCCACGCGTCCCAGGACACAGCACATATTCAATAATCGAATCTTCATTGGCGCGTAAGTTGTCCCACGCTAGAGAGGCACGCCGTCTACCTCTATTCGATTTCCCTCATCAAAGAAGTGGCCATATGAGTGTAGTCGTTGTGCTCAACACAGCTTCATAGTGTCTCCAGAACTAGGTGCTGGTTAAGGGCACGGTGGGGTGACAAACTCGTGCGGTTAGCACTTTGTTGCGTCATGTTTCTGAATTGCTGATGGTCAAGCTGATTGTCTACCTGCCTTTCCGCTGTTTTATTTGCGTCCAGGCGATGCCCACCCTCACCGTGAACATGCGCGATCGCGTGGATAGAATTTGCCAGCTGTTCGCCGAAGGTGACAATAGCAGCAACTCCCTCGCGGTACCGACGTCTACAGCACTTCCAAAACCGACCACGCGTGGACTGCAGATCCACCACGAGGAGCCGGCTGCTCTGGTGCCAGTCCCTGAGAAGAGCCCACCCAAGCGCCTGGCCATCTACCGGGACCCAGAACCCAGCCGGCCTGTCGGTGCTGCTGTGGGGCACCCCCCAGCGGGGTCACGGGCCCCCCTCCGCCAACTGCCCGTGGCACCGCAGCGCCAGCCGGAAGATCCCCCTCTGCCTGTAGAAGTGCGTGATGCGGCGGCCAACAGTCCGCCTCGTGCGACAACTACCTTCACACTGCCAATAAAGTTCGCTCCCGTGTGTGCCTCCACTGCAGTCTTCCACCACGGCATTGGTGAACACCTGCCAGCTGAGCCTGTCTCCCCGATCTGCGAAATGGACTGCTGTCCGTCGGCCTCGCCACCGGGATCCCCGTCTGAGCGCTGTGACCTTGCGGAGGCCTTTGCCCACGTACACACACCGACTGCTAATGCAAGTCGTGCGCGTGTGGATGCGACAAACTTTATTGAAGCCTTCCTTAGGTCACAGAAACCATGATTCGGCCCCTTTTCGAGACAGAAATCTTCCAAACTTCTTTTGCCCTCTGTTTTTAACTAACTGAAAACGTCTGATAATGTTCTCGTTTTGTTCGCCTGGTGGGGGCGGTGGGCGGTTGCCATTGTGCGGTGTTTGAGGGTGCCTTTAAGCACTCCTACTTCGACTACTGGAATTCGATGGTTTCCAGGCAGGTTGGGCGCTGATAACGGCTCCTTCAGGGGGATCTCGACTTGCGCGTCTTAATCTACGCGCCATTCTTGGGTGAATACATGATTTTCCTGTCGCAATGATATGGAAGATCTTCCTTAATTTATCTAATAGTCAGGTTTACTTGTTTTCTTTGTAAGAAAACTTGATCTTCAGGACATGTTGTGTGCCACAACTAGTTCAAGTACTCATGAGGGCTCCCAAACGCCCATACATTCTCCATGGGTCTGGACATCAGTCTGCTTTTAGAGGGGTTTTCTGTGGAAGAGTAGGTGGTGTGTCTTAGGAGGTGTTAACCGAATTTCTGCAATGTTTCTTCGATTGGACAGGATCACCTAGGTGGGGTTGTAATACTGATTATTGTGCGATGTTATCCAAGATATCTCGGCCACACCAGTATGCTGGCGTTTGAATACGCGTCTTCCCGGCTAAGTATAAGAATCGCACTTGATATAAATTGACTGCATAAGCGACATGAGTGTTCACTTATTTTCGACATCATTATAAATTCAAACATTTTGCAGAAGGCATGCACACCATATCCTTGTACTACTTTGGTAGCAAGTTATATCTTCAAATTTCGTGCTCCAAAAGACTATCTTCTAGTTTTATAAGGCTTTTTCAATTCTCGGATAATTCGGAACCCAACTTGCCATTATACTTACGTCTGAGGGTAAGGTCGCAGTTCGTAGCCAGAGTTTGTGAGACGGTATTCTTGCGCGTCTTGTTTGCTGTCATGTCATATAGCTCTCATGAAATATTGCGTTGGATATGACCACGTCGTATTCTTCAAAAACAGCATAAATAAATGGACAGATGCAATGTTCAAGGCAACAATTCCAGAAATTATAAAGCGTAGGACGTGGAGCTAAGTGTCCGGAACACCGACCTGTCGGCTTACTGAAGCGAACAAACCCCGTATTGGAGTGGCAAGGGGCACTAACAGGTAACTAACTACCAGGCCTAAGTCGACCAAATTATATTAGCAGGGGGAGAGAACGACAGGAAATGCGAGTGGATTTATGCGGTACCGTTCAGAACGAGAACTTCCACGAATCGACTTGTCCTCTGAAACTTATTGAAACATGACCGATGAGAAGTTATGGGGTTCCAACGGCCAAATCACAGCCAGCCACCCTAAACTTGGGGCTCGGCTCTGATGGCACTTCTTTATAAAGGCCAACTTTGTGACCCTAAATTTCAGCCAGTTTTTTTTTCAAAAGCATGCTCTTTCGAACACCCCTGGGCAGTTTATATCCCCAGTAAGAGTGGATAACAAATTCATGCCATAGTAAGTGCCACAATTATCTCTTCACTACTTGTTGCCGATTTTCTGCCGACTGTGTTTAACTTGTGATTCCCCCGCATAATCAGGTAATTTGTCCATTTTTCGCGTCAGCTGATGTTCTTCTGGGTTCCCTAATTAGGACAGCTATTACTCGCCCTTGGTCAGTGTATTTGTGCTAGTCATATTGTCGAGTTTTGATCTACAAGTTGTCTTGTCTCATCAGCCGTCTACACTATGTCCTCCCATAATGTCAATGCAAGCTTATTACTCTAAGCCTATTCGAAAAGCCACAAACCTGGTTTACACTGTTTGCTAGCATTAAGACGTCGGCTCTTTTGCTGCAAGAAAGCTGTAAGTCACTATAACGGGATTCTTACCTTCATCTTTCGCCCCTGCCTCAGCATACCCTTCAAAGTGTTGTTACGATGATTTTATACTAAAGCGGCACACAGTGAAAAAGCGATATATCCTCCGGCACGGTCTCCTATTAGAAGAAAAGTCTTACCACAAGTGCGATGTGCCGGCGACGTGCGTGAACAAGGTCTGTGGACTGAATGTGCTGGTATAGAGGTGCAGAATGGGAAACAAGTTTTTCCATTACTGGGATTTAAATGAAGGACTACTGTAATCTAAAGCTCTGTAAAATTCTAGGGCTAATTTGTCGCTCGAGCGACAGAATGCCACTGGAAGAGGTGTAAAAGCTTACTGGTAGATCCCCAGATGCTGTGGTGGACTAGTTCTAGTACTGCCGGCAGTTTGCTCCGAAATGGTGTCTGTCACCAGGAGAGGAAATCTGAATGGGACACCGGGAAAAGCGACACAAATCGACGAGGTCAGATTTGCAGGGCGCCGTAAGTACTGTCGTGGCCGTCTTTTGGATGGTGATGCACCTACCGAAGAAAACAATAGCGATCCAATACAGAATTATCGGAAACACGCACTGACGGTCAGTGGGTGTTTGGATTGTGTCAGGGTACCAATGGTAGGTGCCTCTACATACACGAGCTAGACGCCTCAACGTTGATCTCCGTCAGCGAAAGCGAGGTAGAAGCAGGTTCGACAGTGCATTCTGACGAATGACCAGCTTCTCGGGGACTTAATCAGGCTGGGTACAAACAAAAAATCGTGAATCACGAGGAAAATTACGCTGATCCGAATGCAGGTGCCTACACGCAGAAAACCATGAGGACTTGGTTAGAAGGCAAGATTGGGGTTTTGAAAAAGAAGTCGCAAAGTTTCCCAGAATTCACCTTAGGGACACTTGGATGCACACTGCTGGCGTGCTTTGAAGAGAAACAAAGATCACTTCGTAGCCATCCTGCACGATACTGAAGAAGTATTTATACCTAGTTGGGCAGGAATCACGTTATTGTACCACCGAAAACTATTTCAGTAGCTTGGCGCGAGTTGAGAACTTTCCTTTCTAAACTGTGGGTTTCTTTATTAAATTCCAACGGAAAATTCTTTACGTAGGCTCCAGACGGACAAAAATTAATCACCATCGAAAGGCGTATCCTATTTTGTTACCTTAAACTCCTCACGCATTGCAGGCGAACACGGCAGCGGCTTCTGTTCGGCTTCTTCGTAAATGCTTGCAGTTTTGCACTATAATTGCACATTTCTGTTTCGCGAAGGTAATGCATGATTTTTGGCGACACGTGTGGGGTTCAACCCTCGAACACGTTGACGACCTGGCGGACCGCTCTCTTGAAAACTTCCACCCTCGAGTGTCCATCACAACCGTGTTTCGGTTCTGGACAGGGTACCTCGTAATAATGCATTGCGAGATATCCTTCTTATCTGCCTCTGGAGCTTGTGAACCGGCCGGTTTATCCGTCGTTTAGTCGGAGTAAAAACCGTATTGTTTTGCAATTAATCGCAGTGACAGGTGCCAGACTGAAGCTCTCACCCCTTTTGTATGGTTTCTCGGCCACGGAATTCCTGCTCTTCTTTCAGCTACAGCATTCGAATTTAATGCAGCAGAATCCGAGCTAGCTGTACATCACAGCGGTTTGTAAAATATCTTTCAGTTACCACAGTCTGTACTCACTCGTACTGGGTTTGCTTCCGTCCATTAACTGTTTTATAAATGCCAGGTCTTTGCCCTAGGAAAAGCTCAGTTTGACAATACGTTCTATCAACGGATTACGGGGAGCTCCAAACTGTCTTGTCACTATCAGAACTATTGACCGAGCCAGTCATATAACAACTCGGAAAAGACGTCATTCGAACTCCCATGTCAAACAGGTGACTTTGACATGTGGATCGCACTTTGATTACCACCATACCACGCACGAACCCGTCCCATACCACTTTCCACAGGCATGGAAAGAACGACTCACGCAAGTGGGAGGCGTGTTCTTCGGCACGATTTTGAAAAGATTAGTGAAAGTTATATTTTTGGATTCAATTTCTTAATCTCTTGCACAGTTTTCCAGTGTAGATCTGACAAAATTTCCTATTTTTTGTCATAAGTCATCTGCGCTTCCCGTCGTTATTCGTAGATTTATCATAAAGCAGAAATCTAGTGTCATAGTTTTTCACCCAACATAGCCTCAATCCTATTAAATGTTACCCGCATATACAAAAAGTTTTCCTCGTAAAATTTTGAATAAAGTTATATTTTAAACGATAAACCGTCTCCACTGACTGATTTTATCGTCGGTTTATTGACTAGTAAGAGACCCTGCCAACACATGGCTCCGGAGGCAATACGGGGCTAGATGGGTCTAGGCCCCGTCAAAATTTTGGTGAATTTCCATCCTTTCTAATGACGCCAGTCTGCATTATATCGGACAAATTTTGCGCTCTTATCGTTAAATATATGCTTTTTGGCCTGCTCAATGCGTTTCCAGGGGAATAGAATCGAGAGAAATTGATGTTTCCCTAAGGCAACTATTGGCCTTGTTTAAGTCGGTCATGTAAATGCCCACGTGGACGGCACTTTTACGCTGACTGTGTGCACGCCAGATCGATACAGCTGACCAATTCATACTCTGTATTCGGCTCGTTTAGACTTCAGTACGTTATCCATTTACTTGTTCCATGCTTCTATGCTATGAAATGTGTCATTTAAATAAGTAAACGTTTTGTTATAGTCCCTAGAATCGGACTTAAAGCCATTTATAAGAATGGCAGATAATCTGACTGATTAAGTGTAGTGTATGGCGGTGTAATATGTGTTAATGGTATTTATATGTTAATTCTGAGCAAATATGAAACGGAAATACTGGAGAATTCATCTTTGAACAAGATGAAAAAGCGAGCGAAGATGGCGTATTACGCCGCCACCGATAACCCCTCGCTCCCGTCTACGTCTTCTGTGCCAACGGAGCAATCACCAGAACCCCAGATGCCTCACCGTAGCCCAGAAGTCTCCATTTCTAGGTGTTATTTGTGTATGCTATTAGACGGTGTAGACAACGACCAGCCAGCTGATGAAAGTCTAAATCCGTTTAATGGTAAATGCTTCTTGACGGATTTGAAGGAGTTCTGCTTAAGTGTC